CACACTTTTGTCGACGCATCAGAAAATTCGTGCAGTTCACAAGGATAAACGAGTGACTGTACAATTATTATGTGCAAAGTCGCGTTTAGCCCCAGTAAATGCGATCACACTCCCAAGATTGGAATTGAAGGCAGCAGTTTTAGGTGCTCAATTAACAGCCACCATAAAGGAGCAATTGTCACTGCAAGGAACTACAACTTATTTTTGGGCTGATTCTGAAATTGTGTTGTCCTGGATAAATAGCCCAAAAACAATAAAGGACAAATTTGTGGCTACAAGAATCACACCCATCCAAGAATCATCTTTACAAAGGGAATGGCGTCATTTCGCCTCGGAAAACAACGCTGCAGATATAGCCTCAAGAGGAATAAGTGGTTTCAAATTCACCAATTTAAGTCTTTGGTTCTACGGTCCATTGTTCTTGTATGGTCCACCATCAAAATGGCCACTACCATTTGTTGCTGCAAAATCAGAACAGCATGCAATTCACCACGAATGCTTAGAAGTCGTCTTAGCTGCAACGAGAAGTCCGAATTGGCTTTATGGTATAAACCATGGCAATTCGTTCAATAAGCTATTAAGAATTGTAGCCTACATCATGCGCTTTAAAAATAAATCATCAGAAACAACGGCAACGGTTAAATTTGAAGAATTAGAACAATCTCGAATAATAGTTCTTCGACTAATTCAGCAAAATAATTTTAGCGCTGAAATCAAAGATTTAAAGAAATCACGTGAAGTAGGACGCAATAGCAATCTCAGCGCGTTAACACCCTTCTTGGATCAGGATGATCTCATTCGAGTTGGAGGCAGATTGGAAGCATCTGAACTTTCATTCGATGCAAAACATCCCATTCTATTACCATATAATCCTGTAGTAAAAAAATCCACAAAGAAAATATGCATTGTGGTGCTCAAGCTCTACTAGCCACATCAAGGCAAAAATATTGGGCGATAAATTTTAAAATGCGTCAAATGCACAAGAGCTAGGCCAAAATTAATGGAGCAAAAATTGGGACAGCTACCACCACTAAGGGTCACACAAGCTCGACCGTTTCTTAATTCTGGAGTTGACTATTGTGGACCCTTTAAGATTCATTACAAAATTCGTGGAAAGAAGCCACATACTGCTTACATAGCAATATTTTGTTGCTTTGCGACTAAAGCCGTACATTTGGGACTGGTTAGCGATTTAACCACGGAAGCATTCTTGGCAGCTCTTCGTCGATTTATAAGTCGTCGAGGAAAATGTCAGACTTTACACTGCGATAATGCTACCAATTTTGTTGGTGCCAGGAATAAGCTTCAGGAATTAGAAGACGCTATCTTTTCAGACAAGGCCAGAAAGTCTATAGTGGAGACTTGTAATAATAAAGGCGTCAATTTCAAGTTTATTCCACCAAGAGCACCTCATTTTGGAGGACTTTGGGAAGCGGCTGTAAAATCAGCTAAACATTTATTACACAAAAATTTTGGTACAGCTAATTTGACGTACGAGGAGTTAGAAACTGTGATAGTGGAAATAGAAGCTATCATGAATTCAAGACCCTTGGTTCCGATGTCAAGCGATCCAAATGATATTACGGCACTTACCCCTGGTCACTTTCTTATTGGAGAACCGTTAACCGCACAGGCAGACAGTGAGCCATCTCAGCAACCACAATCATTGGGGCAGAGATGGCAAGCCGTATCAAAATTAAAGCATGCGTTTTGGACTCAATGGTCAAATGACTATCTACAACAACTTCAGCATCGACAAAAATGGAGAAGATCTTCGGCAAACGTAAAGGAAGGAGCTTTAGTGCTGATAAAGGAGGATAATACTCCAGTTCTGCAATGGCCAATGGGACGAATAGTTAAGACAATCCATGGCAAAGATAATTTTGTCAGGGTTGTAGATGTAAAAACGAGTAAAGGAATACTTAAACGAGATATTCAGCATGTCGCCCCATTATTCCCAGAGGAGGAGCCTCTCCACAAGCATCCAGCTGACGAAGAGGAAGGTGACAATGACATTAGTTGTTATGCTTCTTCTGCTACCCTTAGTAGCAGCACAATCAATCAACATTACCCAATTTGCATCGTTGGAAATATTGCCAATAGTCTTTTTGGTGTATTAGACTCCACGTACGCGGATAAAATGGTGCAAACGATCTCAAAGGTCAAAGCTAATGAGAAGCATTTACTTACGTTGCTGAGAAATCAAACGTCTTTTATTGACTCTACAATCAATGTCATTAAAAGGGATGAAATCTCAAACTCCAAGCGGTTAAAATCAATAGAAAATTATATTGCAGAAACTACTGGTACTGCAAGTAGATTTAATAAATTTTCATGGTATATAACACTTGCGACTCAACTATCTCTATTAGCTTCTAGTCTGCAACGAATGCAAACAGAGATCGTAAACGTTTTAACAGATATTCGGCATAACACAATAAGCCCAATGTTGCTGTCACCAAGGCAATTAAATGATCAGTTAGAAAAAATACGCAACCATTTGAAGCCTGGACAAACGCTTCCAGTATCTCCTGATAATATTTTAATGGCATACCAGATGATGAGAGCTGAGGGAACCATCATAAAGGAGCATGTTATCATCAAAGTAAAATTGCCTTTGGTGTCTACTCAGATTTTGGACATCTATAGATTGACACCAATTCCATTTTTGACTGAAGATGGAATCAGTATGTTTGCAATTAAGACACCATATATCGCAATCAACAGTCATCGAGATGAATACTTTGAGACGTCGGAAAATGATTTTAAAGCTTGCCAAGAAAGAGCAAAGGATGATTTTATATGTTATAACAAACAAGAAATGTTTTCTTCGGAAACTAGCTGTGAAATGCAAATGTTTCATAATAAAACGGATTCTTCTTGCAACTTAATAAAGGCAGAAAGACCTTTTGTCTGGTTAAGAACACATGCCAGAAATCAATGGATCTTTACAACAAGATCCACGCTAACATTATCTGCAGTTTGCTTAGACGGAACCTCTAATATAAATTTAAAGGGTTCAGGATTTATGATTGCAAAACATGGATGCACCATTCGAAATTCTTTAATGACAGTTACAAGTCAAGATGTGCTCGAAACCGAATTACGTACATCGTATGCTCGCTTCGGAGAAGGTGAACTCACTGAAAATCTACGAATGAATTCAAGAAGATCTACCTCTACAAGTTCGAAGGAAGACCCAAACCTTAAATACAAAGAGTTGTATCAACGAGAAGCGCAACTCTTTCCTCCCAATAGTTTTAAATTACCACATAATCTTGAGACTATTGAACATCATCATATTGCTATTTATATTGCATTACTTTTTATAATAATCATTGTCATTACTCATGTTATAAAGAAATGGGGAAAACCTAGAAATAACCTTCAGCTGAATCAGATGCCGACCACAACTGTAAATAGAGACGGTTCTTCGATTCAGCCCTTCACGATCAACATTAACGATTGTTGAACATCTGGTAGATGTTATTGCTTATTTAGGCTATTATTGCTGTAAACTGATAATAAACCATGTTGTCCATTTTTATCTAGACTAGACCTAAGTATATATCCTTGTAAACCCAAATTATGCCTTTGCTGATGATCTTAAGAGCTTTGTGGAAAAATTTGATATGGTTTTTTCTAGAGTCTTTAGATGGTATAACTATAAACCTTGGGTTTTTATGCTGCGGTTCAGGGAGTTCGGGAAATTCGATTGGTAGTTTTTGATATTGTCTTTTTTTTTTGGCTTTGGGGATAGCGCTTAGGCTGGCAAAGCGGTTATCCCCTAAATTAGGTGGCCCCGAGGCCATGGCTCTGGTTGCCCTTTTTCGCGGACAAAATGTGATAGTGAGAAAGTTTAGGCAAGAATGCAACTTAAATCAGAGCTAACCTTAAATTAGATTAGATCTTAAGTAACAGAATTAAAGACTTTGGAGGGTCAACTACGGAAATACTGTGCCCGAGTTGCAGCTACCAGTTTACACTCTCAGATACATTTATAATTCTATATAATATTCCTATTATGGACTACGTTGATGCCAACCCTTATATTTTATTCGGTATAAGCAAAAGCCGGTGTCTACCGATAATGAAACATGTACATTTTTCAATTAAGGGAGGGGGTATGGTATTTAAATTTTGTTTGGCCATGCTTTTTAAATTTTTTTTCTGAATTCACAACATTTGAAGAATATTGCGTTAAAATTTTAGATTCATCCGAGTAAAACTTCGGAAGTTATGGGCAGTTGAACGTAGGTGAGTTAGCTCGTTTTGCATGCGATTTTTCGGTGTCCAAAACTTTAAAACGCTCTGAGAAGTTGCAATTTCAAAGTCGGTGAACACCATCCTGCAAAATCTACTAAACGAATCGTTTTGAAATTTTGCACCTAAATTCGCAGGTCGACTTCCGTATCTTTTTAAAAAAATTTTTTTATATGAAAATTTGTGAAAACGTAGTTTAAATGTTGTACTTTAATATGCTTGTGGGAGTTCAGTTCACAGCAATCTTTTATTCACTGATCGTGCTTGATTATAATGAGGGTTAATTTTAGCAAGTTGCGTTACTCGTCGAGACTCGTTCAGAAGAGCGGGAACTAGGGATTATATCTCTGGATAAAGCTTTATCTGTCGATAAGTGCCATTCCCGGTGAAGCCTGCGCAGCTCAGCTGTTTTGGTATTCACCGAGAGACGCTGACATGTGGTTGGAACTCGTAAGGTTGTCCCCCAAATTACTCCCCCCCAGAAATCAGCATGGCTGATTGCTGGACCGGGAAGATGACCGGGACCGTCCTCCTCGCGTTGTCGTCGATGTTGGCTGAGGGACGTCGATTGCTGGAGATGCCGCTGGTGTCGTCGGTTGATTCGGTGCATCCTCCCCGATGGCCCGGTAACGAACTGTTTTTTTATGGTTTGCTCGCTACGAAATTCGTGCGGCTAGCTCAGTAGAAATTTGTGCGTTCGTCCCACCAAATTTATATTAAACGTGACCGCCCGGTTAACAGTAACAAAACTTCAGAATTCGGTTAAGAAGGCGTTTATTTACGGCTCTGGTTGACAATATTTGAATATATCTTGTTGATGCTCCTGCGTCGCCGCTCGGTGATTCCTTGCTGCTGATGGTCCTAGTCGCTCCGAGTACTTTCGCTGCCGCTCATAGACGAGGGCGTGGAGTTGGACCGTTGGGCTTAGGGAAGCGTCACCGTTCTCAGACTAGGGTGAACAGGCACCACGCTCGCAAGACCTTCGTCCTGCCAGCCGCAGCCTCCTGTCCCTTGCTCTGTCCCGGCCGGTCCCGCTAGACGCTCACTCAGTTTCCTTTGACGCTCTGGTACTACGGCCAGATCACGTCAGCAGTCCCTATAGCCAGCGCCCAGAGAAAGACGAACGTTCCACCCTGGCCTTCCCTCCTGACTGTTGCGATCGTACCTGAGGCTTGGCTCTTGTTGCGGTCTCTGGCGGCCAATGTAGTCGGCCTGGTTGGTATTACAGCCGGCACAGTTAGTCTGATCGGTATTACAGCCAATGCAGCTAAACTGACCGGTATTACAGCCAACTTAGACGCACACAGTTAGAATAAATTGGTATTACAGCCAATGTAGCCGGACTGATTGGTATTACAGCCGGCACAGCTAGCCTGATCGGTATTACAGCCAATGCAGCTAAACTGATCGGTATTACAGCCAACTTCGTCGGACTAATCGGTATTACAGCCAATCTTGATGTTCTGTAGACTTGGCCGTGGGTTGCCGTTCGAGGACTCAGCTACCTGTGTCTCAATTCGGTGACTTGCTCGGTCCCGAACGTCTCGACGTAGCGATCTTGTTCACGGTTGGTTCTCACGGTGGTATATTCTTGACTTTGACTTTTACTAGACGATGTTCACTCGTAGTTTGATGCTCGATGACTGGTCCTGATTCCAGCGCTGGGCCCGTTTATATAGGCCTCCGGGTCCCGTTAATCCTCGGCCATTCCTTTTCTTCTCTCCACTCCAAGGTCCAAAGTCCACGGTTTTACCGTTTGACCTTTCGCCCTCTGCACACGGCACCACACTGAAGTCCACAGTGCAGCGCTGTACCGTTCCTTCCTTGCTCACGGCACGCCTGCGCTCTCTGGGCTCTCGCTCTGACTAGTGCCGTCTCGCTCTGGCACCTCTCTCCGCTCCGTCTCTCCCAATCTCTCCAAACTCTCTTTGGGTTCGTACTTTGTACTTTCTCTCCTCGTACTCTCCAACTGCTTTCTCCAAACTCTCTTTTCCTGCGTTGCCGTTACTACGCGAAGTAGTTGCGTAAGTAGCAACTGGCAGGTTTTCCATGCAGTTATTTTTGAGATATTTTGTGTGGAGTTATTTAACTCCTCACATTCCCCTCTTTCTTCGGATAACGAAAGTGAGCTCGATCCTCCTCTCCGGCTGTTACCCTGTGAATCCTTGTAGCCTTCGAGTCCTCTCGTTCTTCTCCCCACTCTGGTTCCATCCTTAGACGTACGAATTCTCGTTGTTCCTCTCCGGCTTTTATCCTGTGTATCCTTGTTGCCTTTGAGTCTTCTTGATCCTTACATCGACGCCCACAGCTCCTTGTTGAGTTATACTGCGCCGATCCGTATTCCTTGACTTTCTCCCACGAAGCTTCCCTCGTCGATGTATGCTTCCTTAAATCCCGATGCTGCCGTCGAAATTTTTAAATATCCCGCTCCAACCTTGTTCGCGGTCTCCTGTGGTTCGTCTTGGTCACACTAATCCTTTGCGATCGATAACATGACTTGCATATCGATATTACCTTGGGGTGGCGTTGCCACCTCATCATCGCGATGTTTATTAGTGTGCCTCTCATATGCCGATAGTTCCAATGTCTCGTGCCCATCGATCGGCTGTTATACGATAGTGCCAATCGACCGCCTTATATCGCTGGCGCCCCCTTCCCTAAGCACATGATGACGCGGAGAATTTTTCTTGCCGGTAAGTTTTCTCTTTAATTTTCCATTTCCCCTTTCTCTTAACTTTCTTTCTCTTTAAACCCTCCCTTTCCCTCGACTTGCCCTTGGACCGTGGCCCTCGCCTACGGGCGGAGATGGAAAACATAGAGGATAAAAGGTAAAATGGATTGGCTGTGGCCACGATCGTTCCCCCCCCCTTTCCAGCCGCTACCCCTCCCCATCATTCGAAGTACACGTGAGTTTGTGCCTTTACCTTTTTTTTTTTTGTTGCTCAACTCATTTGCCTTCCTTTTCTGTTTTCAGCTGAACGGCTTTCCCAAGGAGATAAAGATAAAGATGACCTGGGACATATATGGACTGCCCCTTTCATCCAAGCAGCTACCCCTCTCCACCAGTCTTTGATGTACAGGTGAGTTGTGCCTTTGTTTTTGTTTTGGCATTCAACTGATTGGTTTTATATTTTTTTTTCAGATGAATTGTTCTTTCTTTTTTTTTTTTTAAATAAACTCCCCGGCTTTTTATGGCGTTATTATTTTAAGTGTTTGTGCTAGTTTTGTCCGCGTTTCCAGTCCCAGTGTCAGTGTTTACGTGTGTGACAGTGTTATTTTGTATTTATATATATATTTTTTTTTTTTTTTGATTTTTATTATTATTTATTTTTTTATACGGCTAGCAATCGAAACGGCGTACACTAACTTGGCCAGAGGCCGCCAACCGGATGCGGTATTTCTTGCAGCCTATCTCTGCCATCACGCAGCGTCGGCCCCCTCTTCGCCTGGCATGCTTGATCACCGGCTGCTCCAATAAACCAACTGGCCACTCCTCCTCGGCGATATCCTGCCAGGATCCGCCCTCTGTCCGGGACGCCATCCGCACGAGTGTGGGCCTGGCCACTGGGCCGCGTGCCTCTGGGGCGGAGATCTGCCGCTGGAGTTTGGGCCTCGGGTTGTCCGTAGGTGTCGGCCACACCCATGGCCCTTTCTCCAGTACCTCTCCCGTCTCCGGTGTCGGCGGCAACCACCCGGCGTCTTCGCGGCGCACCCTGGGGTCTCGCGGGTTTGATTTCGGAGTGTCCTGCGCTGGGGTCTCCGTCTCCTCCGTGGCCTTCGCCTCGTCGCTGACAGGCCAGGTCCACGTGACGGTGTGTTGCCGCCACTGGACGCCGCCGGCCACAAACGCATTTAGCGCATGCGCGACGTGGGCCTGCGGGATCTCTGTCCGGCAGTACTGCCACTGCTCCTCCCCTCCTCCTGGTCTGGGAACCTCCTCCTGGGTGTGTGTCCTCCGGTTCCTCCTCTTGGACCTCCTGGCCGTGCCGAGGCGTGGGCGGCCGAGCCGGAGTCCACTTCGGTGGGTGGGGGTGTTCCGCCTCTGGATGACTTGGAGGGGGGCTGGGAGCGGAATCCGGACTGCTATCCTCGGGCTCTTCTCCCCGGACCTCCTGGCCATACCGTGGCGTGGGCGGTCGTGCCGGGGTCCACTTCGGTGGGCGTGGGAACTCCGCCTCCTGCTGACGTGGTGAGGCGCTTGGAGCGGGATCCCGGTCGACATCCTCCGGCCATTCTTGCGGGCGGGGGGTCGGAGGTGGCTCGTGCCAATTTTGGGGATGGGGGTTTGGGTCCTGGTAGGGAACCCATCCATCCGACTGGGCCCACTGGTTCGGGGCCTCGGGTCCACGACTGGCATTTCCGTCGTTGTCGGATCGGGGAGTCGGGGGTATTCCTTGCATCCCTCCTGGGATTAAGGGCACCGCCTCCACCAGAACCTCGCCCGACCACAGTTGGCGTTCCTCCTCTTCCCACTTCTGTAGCCGTTGCTGCCATTCGGGGTTCCTGGACCGTTTCTCCTCCTCCTCCCTTCTCTTGGCCTCCTCAACTTCCGCCTCTTTCCGGGCCTTCTCCTCTCCTCGCTTGAGGCGATATGCCTCCTGGACGATGGCTTCAGCTGCGGCTTGCTTCATCCGCTCCCATTCTTGCTGCGCGGTCTCAAAGTCCTTCTCCACTGCTCTGCGGTCCTCGTATCGGGCTCTCGTCGTCCGCATCCGCTCGACCTCGTCCCTCAGCATCTTGGCTCTCGCCTCAGCCATCTCCAACGAGGTGCTTCCGCTGCCCCTTGGTCTCTTCGCCGCACCCTTAAATGTTCGGGCGTATCCCGGCGGGATTGCGTCGACCTTCGGATCCCTGGCCCTCTTTAGGCGCCACTCCCGCCTCTCCTTGACCGGGTCCTCGGCCCACTCCATGTCGCTCTCGTCCGAGGTGACTATGGGTTCGGGCTCCGAGCGAGCTCCATCGTCCTCGGCACCGCGCCGCGGGGTTTGGGTGGGCCGGAAGATAGGCAGCGGCCTAGCCTCCGACCGTCCTTGCTCCGCGACGGGTCCTTCAGGACCTCGCTGAAGCGCGGCCTGCCTCCTTGCTGCTGCTCTTGTAACTCGGGTACTCATGTTGACTTCTTGGTTTGATTTGTCCGTTCCCTTGCAATTCCCTTTACCATGAAGCCTCGGTTTCGGGGATTCCTTTTATGCCGTACCGTTATATCCCTATCGGCTCTCTTTGCGGCTTATGTCTTCTCTTTTGGGGAGGCCGTTTTCTCTTAACCCTGCGTGTCTGATGCTGACACTCTCCTCCGATGCCTAGGTCTTCCTTCGTTTTTGGCTCGGTCTCTTCAGTTACTTTTTGGTGGTCGTTGCTGACGCATGGTTTTCCTAGCTTTACGGTACCCCGTACCGTCTCTCCCCTTTCCTCGGTGACGTGTATTATGTCGTTGCTCTCCACGTGTTTTCCTTGTGATCGTTTCGCAGGTCCGGTGAATGCTTTCGTTGATAATGTCCCTTTCTATTGGGTGTATGCTCTGTTGACTCCGGTCTTTGGCCTGACGTAGAAACGGTTGCCTCTGCCCCATCTAGTCTGGGATCTGTCTTGTTTTTATTTGCAAGATCGTCCTTCTTGTCTATCCAACTCCCTCTTCCGTTGACTCCGGCTTTGTCCTGACGATTAAACGGATTCTCGCCATCCCGATCCTTTATTCGTCGTTGACTTAGGTGTATGCTGACTTGATCAGAGTTCTTGCTCGTGTTGAGGCGTGCTCTGTTGACTCCGGTTTTGGCCTGACGACTAAACGGGTGCTATTGTCTCATGCGGTCTTGGACGCTGGTTGATCTGCATTCGCTTGACGATTAAACGATATCCTGTCTGCCTGTCCACATCCTTTTCCGTTGACTCCGGCTTTGTCCTGACGATTAAACGGGTTCTCGTAGTACCGATCCTTTATTCGTCGTTGACTTAGGTGTATGCTGACTTGATCAGAGTTCTTGCTCGTGTTGAGGCGTGCTCTGTTGACTCCGGTTTTGGCCTGACGACTAAACGGGTGCTATTGTCTCATGCGGTCTTGGACGCTGGTTGATCTGCATTCGCTTGACGATTAAACGATATCCTGTCTGCCTGCCCACATCCTTTTCCGTTGACTCCGGCTTTGTCCTGACGATTAAACGGATTTCCGCAATCCCGATCCTTTATTCGTCCACTGCTTGAGACCTGCCTGTATTTCCGTCCTCGTTCGTTTTTTGTGTCTCCTCCTGCTGCTTTAGATCGCTGATGTGCACTGTGCGTTGCTTCTTGCTTCTTTGGTGGCGAATTTTGCAGATTACGGGGGACACAAAATCGACTACCTGATATGGACCATCATATCTCGGCGCTAGTTTGGCCGCGAAGCCTTCCGCCGCTTTAGACAAATGGTGCTCCTTGGCCCAGACGACATCGCCGATTTGTGGATTCCACCGTCTCCTTCTGAGGTTGTAGTGCCTGGCTTGATCCTGTGCTGCCTTTTCCAAATTTCGTCGGACAATTTCGAAGATTTCCTTCAGTTTTTCGGCATTCCCCTCTGGTGACTCTGTGTGCCTTCCTGTGCCCAGCGTTTCTCTGTCGTACAACGCGTTTGGCAGCCGCGGTTCTCTGCCCTGCGTTAGAAATGAAGGCGAGTATCCTGTGGACTCGGATATGCTTGAGTTAACTGCTAGCATTATCTCTGGCCACTTTTCGTCCCAGTTCCTTTGGTTTTGTCCGGCAAACTGTGCGATCATGGTTTTTACGGTTCGATTCGCGCGCTCGGTGGGATTTTCTTGAGGAGTGTATGGTGCTGTGAACTGTTGTTTTATTCCCATGTCGTGAAGAAACTTCTTAAATGCCCGACTGGCAAACTGCACCCCGTTGTCTGTAATCACCACTTTTGGAACTCCAAATCGAGCGATTATCCGTTCTTTAAACGCCTTTTGCAGGGTTTCTGCTGTAGCAGTTCGTAATGGCACTAATTCTGTCCATTTTGAGAAACGGTCGATTAGAACCAATAACATTTGGTTACCGTGCTTCGATCTTGGCAGGGGTCCAACAAAATCCGCGCACACCGTTGCCCATGGTTCCTCAGGGACTTGTGTCAGCATCTTACCCGCCGCCTGACGCTGGTTTGGCTTAAATTTTAGGCACTCTTCGCATTTCCGAACGTATGCTCTCGCGTCCCTCTGCATTCCTGGCCAGTAGTATCTGGCAGCTAGACGGGCAATCGTCTTTCGGCTTCCTACATGGCCGGCGGCTGGGGCATCGTGATTTTCTTGCAGGACCTTTTCCCTTAGCTCCTTGGGGACGCACAACTTCCATGCCACCACATCCTCGTTGCCAGCTCTGTGTGGGATCTGCCTGTACAGTGTTTCGCCGTCGAACACATAGTCCGGGAATTTCTGCGGGTGTGTCTTTATCTTCTCGCGCATGTCCCTGATCCAGTTACATTCCGAATTTTGCACCAACTCTTTTGCTCTCCGGAGGGTTTCCGGCATCGGCTGTCTGGACAGCGCGTCGGCTACCACATTCAATTGACCCTTTCTGTACGCAACCTCGAAGTCGTATTGTTGTAACTCAAGGGCCCATCTGGCGATTCTTCCGGATGGGCTTTCAATGCTGTTCAGCCATTTTAGCGCCATGTGATCTGTTACCACCTTGAAGTGGTAGCCTTCCAGGTAGGGCCTTAGTTTTCTGATTGCCCACACAATGGCCAAACACTCTTTTTCCGTTGTCGAGTAGTTTTTCTCGGCTCCGTTTAACGTCCGGCTGGAGTATGAGATAACTTTCTCTCCGTCTTCCGTGTTTTGTGTCAGGATCGCGCCTATGCCGTATTCGCTGGCGTCTGTTTGCAGGATGAATGTTCTTCCAAAATCTGGACACGCTAATACTGGGTCAGACACCAGTCTCGCCTTCACCTCCTCGAATGCCTGCTGGTGGTATTGCGTCCATACCCACTTTACGCCCTTGCGGAGTAGGTCTGTGAGCGGCTTAACGATGCGTGCGAAGTCTGGTACAAATCGTCGGTACCACGATGCAACCCCTAGGTACTGCCTTAGCTCACGGATGGTTGCAGGTGGTTCTAGGTGGGCTATGGCCGCGACCTTGTCTGGGTCTGTACCGATTCCTTGGCTTGTGACTCGATGTCCTAGGTACAGCAGCTCCTGCTTGAAGAACTGACACTTCTCAGGGTTTATTCTCAGGTTTGCCTCCTTCAGACGGCGAAACACTTCTCTGAGATTGTCCTTGTGTTCTTGCTGAGTGCGTCCGATAACGATTATGTCGTCCTGATACGCGAACGCATGAGGAGACATCTCGGGTCCAATCACTTGGTCCAAGGCCCTTTGAAATGTTGCTGATGCCGAGTGTAATCCGAATGGCATCACTCTCCATTGGAAAAGCCCCTTACCTGGCACTGTGAACGCCGTGAACTTTCTACTTGCTTCTTCTAGAGGAATTTGCCAGTATCCATCCTTTAAATCCAGGCTGCTGATATAGCGTGCTTCTCGTAATTGGTCCAGGATGTAGTTAATACGTGGCATTGGGTACGCGTCCTTCACCGATTTCGCGTTTATCTGTCGGAAGTCGACACATAATCTCCACTTGCCGGTTTTTTTCTTAACCATTACTATGGGTGAGCTATACGGGCTCTTCGAGTGTTCTATGAAACCCATTTCCAGAAGTTCATCCACCTTTGTATTGATCTCCCCTTGAACTTTAGGGTTCTTAGGGTAGTATCTTTGTTTTATAGGTTTGTCGTCCTTCATGGTGATCTGGTGCTCGGCCACATTCGAAGTTCCGCTCATTGTTTGGAATTCTGCCAGCTCTGTTTCTAGGAATTGCTCGATGTTTCCTTCCTCGCTGTCTTCGTGAACAACTGCCACTGACAATTTTTCCTCCAGCCATCCGTTGTGTCTGTTCCTGGCCGGTATGCGGATTTCGTGACCTGCGCACTTTATCTCAGCCCCAACCTGTGTGAGAAAATTCCAGCCCAGCACCAGTGCGTCTACTACTCCTGGTAATATCAGCAGGCTCATGGTCAGTCGTTTGTTGCCGAATGCGACTTCTACCTCGAGCTGCGCGCTTATTCCGCTGCACCTTCCGTCTGCCAACCTAACTTGCCGTCTCGTCCGTGTAATCTTTCCTAGAGCAGCCAGATTGTCCGCCAGCTCTTCGCTAATAAAGCTCGCTGTTGCCCCGGTGTCGATTGTGGCTTTGTACGAGTTTCCACCAATCGTCACCGCTGCGGACAACTGCTGCTCCTCTTCGATTAGCCTGCCAGTTAGATTGGAGAGGAATCCGCGTGCGACCCCCGCTCGCCTCTCTGCGGCTGGGATCGCTGGCCATTTTCCGCTCTCTGACAGCATTCCATGCATCTCACTCCCACCTTTCCGCATATCCAGCAGAATAGCATTCGCTGGTTTCGGCAACCTCTTGCCCAATGCCCGTGTCCGCCACATTTGCGACATGCCTCCTGTGGGTTGGTTATGTATTCTTGGGTTTGGTTGCTTCCTGCTGTCGCGCTTTGTGGTCTCTGGGTAGTGTTTGGTGGTCTCCATAGAGTATTGGTATGCTGCCTTTGATATTCTGTTTTCTGCGTGTTTCGCGACGTTTCGGCTGGCCTGCCTTGCCTGCTGGTATCCTCGCATCTTCTACATGTCACCGGAGGCGGGACTGTCGTCTTTGTCCTGCTGAACTTATTTTCCTGGGAGAACATTTCCCGCTCCTTTTCGAGCTCTTCGTATTCTGTGGCCAGGATCATGAGGGCTTCCAGGTCGTCGATCTTGTACGTTCTGAGGGAAATTCGTAGGTCAGGTGTGCTGTTCTCCCTTATGACCTCGAGTACTTTCCCCGGACTGTACCCGAGTGGCCTTATCATGGTCTGCATGTCCACCATGTAATCCTTGAATGGCTCTCTGAATCCCTGCTTCCGAGCTTTGACTTGGTCCTCTAGTTTCGCCAAATATCCTCTGGGCAGGAAGAACGTTTGGAAACTCTCAATAAAGTCTTCCCACGTTTTCCAGTGCTGGTTGTTCGAGATAAACCACTTTAATGCTCTGCCTTGTAGTAGTTCTGGCATTGCTCGCGGTACCATGTCTAAGTCCAACCCGTAGGT